TCCATTTATATCCTTTATCTGTGCGTCTCTAGCCTGACACTCTGCCCACCCACTTTAGTGCCAACCAAAGGATGCTTAATGGAATGGCTGATTAGCACTGAAGTCGCAATTGCCTCCAGAAGCATGGAGCAAATGCAAGCTTCTGACAGATGAGAAGGTAGGCATGAGGGGCTTCGGTGAGGTCAAAGGTCAGAGGTGAAGAGAAAGAAGGGCTTACCTCTTCCAACCCCTCAGTCATGCCTAGAGGAGCCTACAGCCTGGACACATGACAGCTTGTCATACAACTGCCTGGGTGTCCAGTGTCCAGAGTCCCCTCCACTGAATCCTCTAATTTCAAGTGGGGGCGGGGGGAGGGGAAAGTACCCTAATGCCCATGATGCAGGCCCTGTTGCTCTCTTGGGTGTGGCATAGACAGGTGCCATTGCAGCATCCAAGGAAAAGGAAGCCCATCCAGTTTTAGTTTGTTTGGTTTTGTATTTTTTAAGAAGATTTTTTTCGACAGTTTTCATTCAGGGCAGTAAATGAAAAGGCAATCATAAAATGCATTGAAAGATTAAAATCAAGGCCCGAAAGTCACACTGACCCCAAGATCAAAGTCCTTGAGTACTGGTGTTTCACCTCAAAATTCCCCATTAACTTAAAAAAAAAAGTTTCAACTTAATGCACCTCATGGGTTATTAAATGAAAGTAGACTCTCTAAAGCATCCCAGATATGTCAGATTTAACTTTAGGCACAGAGCCTGTATTCAGCTGGGGGCAGAAAAAAGCACAACTTTCAACATGTAGCCAAAAGACGTTGGCTGTAATGAGGTGTAATGGCCACATTGAACATAATCAAACTGCTTTTACCTAAATACACAATATAGTTTCGGCACCTTGTACAATAAAGCTAAATTGAGAAGAGCTGAACACTCTGCAAATGTTGTATTTAAAATTCATGAACGCAACCCAAGGGCTGGAGATGAAGTTTTCGTGAAGGTCTGGTAAGTGCTGAGTGCCATGGCTCACCGAGACAGCCGAGGCATACAGCTGTCTGTGGCTTAACTAAGGGGTGCTCTTCCATCTTACATTTGGGACTTTAAGCTGAAATTTTTCACCTATCTTAAAACCCTCCCTCATGGAAGTGCTAGAGGAAACTGAGGCACATAGCGGCGATGCAACATGTTGCTTAGGAGCATGCTTGGGTCATCCATCATGGTGTTTGGGAACTTTGGTTACATGGAGAGACGGGCTGGAAACCTTCCTGAGTTTTGTTTGGTTGGTTGAGACAGGTTTGCACTTGCTATGCAGGCCATGTTGGCCTTGAACTCACAACCCTTTGCCTCCTCTTCCCAAGAGCTAGGGTTATGGGCATGCACCACCCACCATACCTGACTTGAAAGCTTTCCTAAGGAGACAAAATAAAACCAGAGAAAGAAACAGAACAATCTTAAGCATTTACCAAAAATAGCAGTTCGATAAAGAATAGCAAGTGCAATTTTCTTTTCAGTGCTTCAGAAAGTACTGGATATAAACCGGTGTAATAATTTACAGAGGTTTATACCATTAGCATCATAAAGCACAGCTCCTAGAGAGCACAAGGTTGTTCTTCCTGAAGCAGGAGGTTTTCTCTGTGACTCTCACTATGCAGTTCTTTTCCCATCAGCTCAAGCTGCCTTTGCAGGTTCAGTGTCAGGATGCAGGGTGAGCCCCTGACCCTCCTTGCTGCATGGACTCACTAGGTTCCAGTGTGAGGTCAGTCCTGGGTGATAGCATTGACAAATCAGACGAGGTGCCTGGGAAGCTGCCTGGGAAGCATCGTGGATGAGCCAGACAGATTCTAGGGCAGAGGGGAAGTCAAGAAGGCTGCTTCCCAGGTCAGGGTCAGAAAAAGCAGCAAGAGAACTGGGGCCTGGGGTTGACATACTCGGGAGAAGAGCCATACACCACCCTACCCAGACAGTTACTGCCCGGTCAGAAGCCAGCAGGGCAGCCTAGCCAGTGAACAGATGAGAGTGGGGTGGTGGGGTGGTTTGAAGAAAATGGCCCCCAAAGGGGGTGGCACTGTTAGGAGGTGTGGCTTTGTTGAAGTGGGCGTGGCCTTGTTGGAGAAAGTATGTCACTGTGGGGGTGGCCTTTGAGGTCTCCTATGCTCAAGCTACTCCCAGTGAGACAGTCTACTTCCTGTGGCCTGCATATCAGCATGTAACAAGCTACCTCTCCAGCACCTTATCTGCCTGCACACCACCATATCCCACCATGATGATAACGGACTGAACCTCTGAGCTGTAAGTGAGCCACCTCAATCGAACGTTTTCCTTTATAAGAGTTGCTGCGGTCATGGTGTCTCTTCACAGCAATAGAAACCCTAACTAAGATAAGTGAGTTGGAAAAGAAGCTGAGGTGTCACTTGGGGCAGAACTTGAGTGTGCTTACAATAAGAGGCACAAGAGGCCATGAAAATATTTAAGCAAGGACATTATATTATTTGCATATTAAAGGGTTCTTCTTTTGATGACTGGGATGTGGTGATATTCTGTTCTCCAAAATATTGTGCACCCTAATAAACTTATCTGGGGTCAGAGAACAGAACAGCCACTAGTTACAGAGGCCAGGAAATGGTGGCACACACGTCTTTAATCCTAGCCTTCCTAAGGCAGAGATCTGTCTGGATCTCTGTGAGTTCAAAGCCACACTGCAAACAGCCAGGCATGGTGACACATGCCTTTAATCCCAGAAAGTGATGACAGGAAGCAGAAAGGTATATAAGGCATGAAAATCAGGAACTAGAGCCTGGTTAAGCTTTTAGCAGCAGTTAAGCTGAGATCCATTTGGATGAGGACTCGGAGACTTCCAGTCTGAGGAAATAGGATCAGCTGAGGAATTGGCGAGGTGAGGAAGCTGTGGCTTTTTCTGCTTCGCTGATTTTCAGCATTCACCCCAATACCTGACTCCAGGTTTGATTTTATTAATCAGACCTTTTAAGATTCGTGCTACACTGAGATGCAGATTCACAACTGAATAATCTGTTTTCCATTGCTATAACAAAATACCTAAGGCACTGCAGCTGGATCTTCCATGGCTTCCAGCAAGCTGAGCCTGCTGAGTTAATGATGGTGGAAGAGGTGAAATGTAACATTGAATCTACTACAACTGTTGCCATGCTTGCCAGGGAATCCAGTCCTGAATCAGACTCAGTGTACTAGAGCGTAATGAAATACACATTTCACATACAATGTGTATTTTTGTCAAAAAGTGAATTTATGATTGAGGGAACTGCAATAAATTTGACAATGGCGAGGAAGTTGACTGTCGGATCAGCTTTGCGCTGAATATAAATCATTCTATTTTGGATACATCGTATCTGGGGTGATGACAAGACAGGGCTCTGGAACTCTCTCACAAACAGCTGAAGATTATGGAGTAGAGCTTGGGTGACAGACAAGGAGCTGGAACAGGAGGTAAAGTTTTAGGAGTCAGCTGCAAATAACTGGCACACTACAAATGAAGGTCAAAGTAGCAAGGGTTCAAACCTGGGCCGGGGCAGAGGGAGAGGCCAGAAGTAGAAAGTGAGCAACATCAATCCTGATCTCCAAGAACTTGCCATCTTATTGGAAACACTAGCTAGGCACTGCAAAAGGCTGAGGAGCAGAAGGAGACTATTAAAAATATGCTGAGGGACACCTCACTATGAGTCATTGTTCAGGGGTGTCACAGAGGCTCCCACAAAATACCATAGGTTATTGTCATTGCTCTTGGTTGCCTACCAGAACTAGACGGTAAGGCTGGATTGCTGAAGCCATACACATTTGAGTGGTACTTGAAGGACGTAGAGAAATCAAGCTGGAACTGACCTGAAAACTTCCTCCCTGCTGGTTAATTTTCATGGTGCCAGAAGATGCTATTTAGGCTGTTGGAGAAAATCTATCAGTGGTGTTACCCAATGGTGAACTCTGCATTTTATAATGCTGACCTTCCAGGCAAGGTATATCCATTGGTAAAATAGTGGCACAAATGTTATGAGGGTAACCAACCATGTTGGGGTCGAATTTGAAGACCACCCCCTAAGAGGGAATGCATGTCTGGTACTGTAACCTGGTCAAAAGCCCATGCTCAAAGAGGTCATAGGCCCTAAGGGTGAAAGTACTACTGTTGTTTTGCTAAATGGACACATTGCCAAACTGTTTTCTAAGTATTTATGTTAATACACATAGATGAGTGCTGCCTTCAATCTTGTCAAGCAAGATTCTCTCTGCAGTGATCAGCAGCTAATGCAAAGACCAATAACTGACCAAAGGCTGAGAGTGAGTGTAACTAGTGAGTGCTAAAGGAGACATTAATATCAAGCCCCACCACCACTCAGGCTCAGGGAACGTCTCACGGGGCGGGGTGGGGGGGATAGAAAGATGGTAAAGGTTGAGGAGGAATGCAGTGAAATGCTGTCTTTTGGACATGGCATGCCTGCTGCACTCATGAATTCACAGCAGCTATGGTTACCCAAACAAAATCAGGCTGACAAGACCAGTCAATATTCCAACAGGCAGGACTAACTGGACCCAGGGGGCTACAAAAAAAAAAAAATCCCCCAAACCAAAAATCCAAACTCACAAAAACAAAAGGGAGATCAATGGAGTTTGGGGCATGTCTTGGAAGTGTGAAGGCAGAGCTAGTGATGGATGTGATCAAGATGTATTGTGTAAACATCCCAAATGGTCAAAGAAGTTAAGAAATGTCTCTAGTGCGGTGTGGGCCCTTTGGCTAGCTGCTAAGTGCCAAGGAAGTCAGAAAGAGATGTCTTGAGTTGGAACAGCTGTAGGAGGCTTTATAAGAAGGGGTCTGGGGGTTCTGAGCCAACTTCTGACACTGTGGCCCAGAGATGTATTTACAGGGACATGTGTTGAGGGAGACTCATCAGCCACAGGCGAGAGCTTGTGTTGCTAATTCCCATCACCACCCCAGCCAAGCAGAGCCATTTCTCAGCACTGCCTCTCCCTCTCGCCCACATCCTTATTGCCTTTGAACTTTCCCAGGTTTCTTCCTTCTCCCCAGACCGGCCTTCCATTCCTCACCTACTGCCATGTTTTCTAGAGCCAGGACCTCCTCACCTTCCAAGTGTCAAGGTCAGTATCTCTGCTTTCATTGCCTTGTATTTGAAAGCTCAGACACATAGTGTTTGTTCATTCATACACCAAACTTATTCCCCAGTTAAACTGTAAACACTCCTGTTATAAAAGTTTGCTTGGGCATAGACCAGATGTGGTGGGTCACCCCTCTAATTCTAGAACTCAGGAAATAGAGGTAGGTGGGTCTCTGAGTTCTAGGTCAATCTGGTCTATACAGTGAGTTCCAGGCCGGCCAGGAATACATTTTGAAACTCTGTCTCAAAACAAAAGTTGCTTGAGGAGATTAGGGGTAATGCTTACTCATATTAGCTAGAGCAGATGTGTGAGGAACACTGGCTCTTCCACTCACTGTCTCCAGGATTTGTGATGTCACTTGAGATGGGTGACCATAGCCAATGCCTCCTCACCCCAAGTTCCACATCCCATGGACTTCCTCTGCAGCTCCCACTGCCTGGACTAACAATTTCGTTCAGCAGTAGGGACTCTAGGGCTCATTGCTGGGAGATTTTAAGATGATATTTGCCTATTTAATTTTTTTTTCTCCAAAAAATGCCTAGAGAAAAGGCAAGGTTCTTCTCTTTCCTGGGTAATGGAAAAGTTGCATTTGTAAAATACGTCATTTCAACATCTTTCAAAGGGACATTAATGCTGGTAACAGACTCGATCTCAGCAAGCTACAGACGAGTGGGAATTAGTGGCCCAGAAGAGAATACATCCAGGGAGGTAAATCCCTGACTGGGCTGGCTGCTGGACCTCTTGTGGAGCGGGTGATCCCTTAGTCTCTTTGGTTCTGGGTCCTATGTGTTGTTTTCTCTTATAGTTTAGAATGCCTACCTGAAAACAGGGATGAGGAGGAGAAAGAAGAGGAAGAGACATGAGAGGTGAGGAAAAGGAGAACAAAGGAGGAGGAAAAGCAGGAGGAGGAAGATGATAAAGAGGATGAGGAGGAAGGGGAGAAGAAAAGGAGAGAGAAGCAGAAAACAGGAATGGAGGAGAAGGAAGAGTGTAGCTGAAGTTTTTCTCCGCTCCTGCCCAGCCTGCGGTCCCATAGTCACTTATAAAATAATTACTCAGAGGCTTATATTAATTACCTTTTCATAGCCTATGGCAGGCTTCTTGCTAGCTAGCTCTTATACCTTAAATTAACCCATTTCTGTTTATCTATGTTTTGCCAAGTGTTCCGTGGCTTACTGGTCTACTGGCATGTTGTTCCTTGGGCAGCAGGCTGGCGTCTCTCTGCCTCTCCTTTCTCTTCCTGTCTCTCTGCTTGGATTTCCGCCTGCCTCTAAGCTGCCTTGCCATAGGCCAATGTAGCTTTATTTATCAACCAATCAGAGCAACACATATTCACAGCATATAGAAAGACATCCCACAGCAGAAGAGGAAGAAAAGGAGGAGGAAGAAGAGGAGGAAAGGGAGGAGGAGGAGCACTAAGTTTTCTTCTTCTGAGGGCCACATACATGCCTAGCCTGGATTATTTCCACGGCATTATGATTTGAAGTAGTTGGTTTTAGAGTCCTCGGTGATTTCTGTCAGATCAGCCTCATTGCCCCTGCCTCTAGCAGAAGGATGGGAGCTGGAGAAGTTGTCTGTGCCCCCAAAGCATGTTTCCATTTGTCTCCCAGTGACTTATGCCATGGTCTGGCCCCTGGTTGCCTTTGCTGTGAGATGGGTGGAGACACGGCCATCAGGATCACATCTCTGCACACTGACATTTGGATTTTGACTTGTTTTTAGAGTATGAATCTCCAGAATCAGAACAAACAACCCTGCTCACTCGAAACTTGTGACTGCGTCACATTCGTGGAGTCACTGATAAGGAGATCAAAGACTCTGCCTGTGAGCATGCAGCCCAGAGCGAAACTGAACTAGACAACTCCTTGCAGGCCCAGCACGGTTTGGTCCTGCTCCCTGTGAGGTGCCTGTGGCAGATGAATGTCCCTGTGGTCAAGAGGTTGGGGATTCAGCTTTCCCCAAATTGCTGAGAGACCGGGCCAACATACCTGCTTCTCTTCTTCCCACCTAGATCTTTAAAATGAAACCTTCCTGGAACTGTACAGAGCTTGACTCCTGATGTACCAGCCTGCCATCAAGTCACTGCTCACAGACGAGGTCCCCATGTGACTGACCTCCAGACCTTAGCACAACGGACACCATGATGGAGGCACCATTCTGACCTAAGAGCCCAGCACATAGACTCCAACTCCTGCCCAAAGGAGAACAAAAACTTAATCCATCGTAGTCCATAGTTCTGGGGAAAGTCCCCAGATGTGCTAGCCCTGCTTTTGGCTTCTGTAGCTCCGCTTATTGCTAAATGTTCTTGCTAATTGAAGTGTGTCAACTAGAATATGTGTGTGTGTGTGTGTGTGTGTGTGTGTGTGTGTGTGTGTGTGTGTGTGTACAAAAAGCCAAGATCAGTAAGACTAGTGGCTGTATGATTTGGGCGAGTTCCTCATGTAGCTTGTCAGCCGGTGGATAAAGACTTTCTGTTGACTTTAAGAGTCTGTGTGTTCTCTGAAGGAGTGACCTCACAACACCTGTACTGAAACTGGCCCCTGAATGCCAGCCTGCCACCTGGTCACTGCTCACAGATGAGGTCCCTGGGTTTGAATACTACCAATTATTTTTTTTTCTTAGGGAAAGAAGATAAAGGAGGCTGTGATAAGACAAATGTCATACTTAAGCCACACTGACGTCCAACAGAGATGTCACTTTAAAGGAGGCCGGACAGAGTTATCTTAGCTAGGAGACAAGTAACAAGAGAAGGATGACCCTGAAGTCACCAAAGTCAACAGACTCCCATGGAGAAAAATGAGGATGGGGTGCCCAGCCAGAGGAGACTCTGGAAGGGCTGGTGGTGGTTCCTTGTATGTGTTTTTCAGAAGAGCATCTTGCACAGTGTTTCTCAACCTGTGGGTAGAGACCCCTTTGTGGGGTTGCATTTCGGATATTTACATAACGATTCATAACAGTAGCAAAATTACAGTTATGAAGTAGCAGCGAAATATTGTTATGGTTGGGGGTCACCACAGCATAAGGAACTGTATTAAAGGGTCACAGGGTTAGGAGGGTTGAGAACCACTGATCTAGCAGCTGTGATGTGCTTGGTACTATTTTCAATCATATTACATACCGTGCGAACAGCAAGATGTGTTGTTCCTGATGACGTTAGCTGTCGAAAGTGGGGGTGTGTGAGAGTTTAGTGGCTGCCATTTTGAGCACCCATTTGTTTATAAATAGCAACTCAGATTAATTCATAAAATAATTTCAGGAAGCTGCTCCACAATAACTGTTTCCTCTGTTTGATTTAACAATTGAGGCACTGCCTAGCAATGCCACCTTTTCCGAGATCCAAGCCTACAATACCTCGCAAATAAAAGGGAGTACCCAGATAACACTCACCATTGTAAATAACCATCCACTAACCTTCAGAGGTATGTCCATGTTGTTTTCATTCCTTAGGTCTTTGCAAGGACAGTACCTACCTTTCAGAAGCAAATCTCCCAAGAGCTCAGGACCTACTCTCTCCACTCTCGAAGGGAATTTGGACAATTCACTATTTTTGATAAGGCCTCATGGTGGACAGTCATCCCCTGAAGGCCTCCTGAGTCCTCCTGAAGGACTCATAGGAAGTCATGAACTTGTGGAGAGTCCCGCAGATAGAAAGAAGCCTGGCCAAGCAGAGACATGCAGCCTGGGGTGGAGGTTCAAGTTTACTGGCACACGTGGGACTCATTCTGACTACATAGTCCAGTTCAAGTGGGTTTAGGACAAAACTCCTGAGAAATAAACACCCCCATACCTTAGGTAAGTTAAAAGATCAGAATGTCATAGATGCTTGATTTAAGAACTGTTCAGACTTTTCCAAAGATATTCTTATCTTTTCTAATGGAGGTCCTCTCTTTTGATGGGGTGTCCACCAGTGTCAGCTGATAGCAGAGGACAGCGATTTCCTGGTCCTAGATTCTTGTAGACAGAAACTCAATCCCAAGAGACCCTCACCTTAAAAGTCCCATTAGTCTGGGAGGACCAAAGGAGCCAGCTTCTGGGCCACTCCTCCCAAACATGAGACAGTACCCGTATTCGGCACTTCAAGAGTCTGTCCTTGGGGACCCTCCAGAAGTGACTGAACACTGAGCCAGCTGCTCCAGACACTCTTGCTGCGAAATGACAGTGCTCACAAATCTTTCACCTACACAGCTTTCCTGACCCTGTAAGCAGTAGTGAGCACGCATGCCTGCTATAACAGACTCAGAGCAGAGCTACTGTGATTCAGACAAAATCTTGGTGGTGGCTTTTCCACCCTGCTTTGTGCATCTGGAAACCAGGGCTTAGAGGCAAGCTTGGCATGCCCGGTAGTTTGCTGGCTGCAGAGCCCTGACCAAACCAAGCACATGGAGAATGATGGCTGCCAGGCATCAGACCACTTCCCCAGAGGAATGCTGCCTAGGCGGGCTGGCTCAGCAGAGCAGCCGTAGCTATGCAAGGTCTCATTAGCTTCTTTCATCATTGCTGTAATAAAATACCCAGCAGAGGCAACTACAAGGAAGGACTTCATGGTTTAAGGGGATACAGTCACCATAGCAGAGACCACATTATTGGTTAAATTATTAAGGCCACTCCATGTAGTTAAAAGGGAGGTTTATTAGTGGTGTAACTTACAAATGAAGGGATAGGTAGGTTACAGGGTCTGGGGAAGACATAGTGCAGTCTGGCAGTGTTCTCTGGAGAACTCTGCTCCGTCTACCTCTAGCGTCCAGGATCCAAGAGAAGGTGGTGCATCTGGATCTCGGGTCTTCAGGGCCCTCTCTTGGCCCCGCCTTGTAGGCATGACAGTTACCAAAGCCTCAATGGGGGTTGGAACTTCCAGATCAAAGCTGGAATGGCTACCCGCTACACCACATGATACAGGCAGCTCCTTGCCTCCTCATAGCTCAGAAAAACAGGCAGTGGAGAGAGGTCTTTGTAGGCAGAAGTCTCTGTCCTGCCAGCAATTTCCAAGTACCCAGCAACTGCTTCCCAAATCACCACACAGAGGCTTATATTAATTATAAATGCTCAGCCAGTAGCTCAGGCTTTTTACTAACTAGCTCTTACACTTAAATTAACCCATAATTCTTATCTATACATCTAGCTGGTGATTCCTGACTCTGCCTTTCCTCTTCCCAACATTCCTAGTTTGGTTACCCCACCTATACTTCCTGCCTGGCTACTGCCAATCAGTGTTTTATTAAACCAATTTGAGTGACAAATGTTTACAGTGTACAAGAGAGTTATTCCACAGCAGGTCTTTCTTTTTAACTCTCTTTTTTAAACAGTGGGACCCCATCATAGGGAATGGTGTCTCCATGTTTAGGGTGGGTCAGTTAATTCTCTTTGGAAACACCTTCACAGATATATCCAAAGGTGTGTCTCTTAGGCAATCCTAAATCCAGTCAAATTGTCAATGAAGACTACCTATCATATGACCTTCCAGACAGTATCTTAATGTTGAAGGCCTTTTGCCTTCCATTCTATCTACCTTCTCTAAGGTTTTGTGTGTTAACTTGCCTTAACTATGACAAAATGCCTGAAACAATGAACTCCTAAGGAAGGACTACTTTTGTTTTTAGAGGAAATCAGTCCCTGGTTTCCAGTGACAGCATAATACTTCATGGCGGGGATATACGACAAACAGGTATGCTTACCTTGTAGCAGCTGGGGAAAACAAAGAAGTGACCCCATTCCAATTCCTTCCAAGAGCAAGCTGTCAATACACAGCTTCCTTCCACTCGGCTCCACCTCCTAAAGGTCCTACCACCTACTAACTAATAGAACCATTAGCTGGCAACCAATGCTTCCCTCTTCAGGGAGACATCTAAGATCTGGGCTATAAGTGTTAGAGATGTGACTCAGTGGTAGAGTAATTACCTAACATGCACAAGGCCCTTGGTTTGATATCCTTCTCCCATACCCTCCCCTCAAGTCCATACTATAGTTCTTGAAAATACATACCCTGGAGTCAAAGCTGGCAGCCTGATTCTTGTTTACTTCCATAATCTTCAGAGCTCTGTGATACAGTGACAATCCCACCTAGTTGCTGGACATGCCAGTACTGGAGCTGCATGCCTACTCAGCTGTCTCTTTGCTGTGAATAACTTGCTTCAATTCTGTATACCTCTGTTATGGAACAATCTTTTTGTACACTGTAAATATGTATTACTCTCATTGGTTAATAAAGAGCTGACTGGCCAATGGCTAGGCAGAATTTTCAGGTCAGAGAGAATGTTGGGAATAAGGAGGGCAGAGTCATGGGAGTCACTAAGAGATGCAGAGATGAAGCTAGAGATGAACATTCTGTACTAAGATAAGGTACTAAGCCATGTGGTAGAACATAGATAAAATATGGGTTAACTTAAAATGCAAAAGCTAGATAGTAACAAGCCTAAGCTATTGGCCGAGCATTTATAATTAACATTAAGTCTCTGTGTGGTTTTTGGTAGCAGTTGGCAGGACAGAGCTAACTGGTGGTCTGAAGAAAAACTCTGCCTACATGCCTCAGTTTCCCTCTGGATATAAGAAGTTGCCATGAGAACCAAGTCTCCCGTGTGAGGATTTCAGAAGAATGCCTGCCATGCACAAAGCAACTATTTAATATGGAGAACAGCTGAAAAACCACTGGATGTAAATGAGTAGCAAATCTCATGTACAGCTGTTGGGAATGTAAAAATTTGGGTTTAATTCTTTCAAATTGATTTTCTATTCTCTAGAAGTCAGGGAAATGCCTCCCACACAGATTGGCTTTTTTTTTTTTTTTTTTTAACCATTATGGTTAGTCTAAGACCACTTCCCCACAAATATGACAATATGTGGTCTAAAAAGTGACTTTCTCACTGAGAAAGGAACTCCCAAGACTGAGTTTCTGGGTGTTTATGTACTCAGGACAAGTGACCTTACCAAGCCTCCCTAAAGAGATAGCTCTTCTTTTTCAACCTGACCGAGTAGATCCTTACTGAATGTCCTCTGAGAAACACGGGCAGTGGAGTAGGCCTGTGTGGTACTGGGGTGAAATCTCTGGCTCCTTAAGGCTTCTCTATGGATGGAGGGTTCTTGCTTAGGTCCTTCGGGAGGCCACACCTTTCAACACTGAACTTTGTTTAAACTTTGTAATAGAGGGGAATATGAACGGGCAGAGCCCACAGTGTGATAAGTGCAATGTGTCAATCAAAGCAGACTCAAAATGCAACCCCAGGGACATGACCTTGCCCATAGTTTAAGATAAGAAGTAGGGAACACGGTCTGATTACAGCAAAAGAGGCTGATGGTAGCTTGTGTCTGGGCAGTGAGCCAGGCCATCCACTGCATGGTCCCTTGCCACATCCCTCAGCTGACCCAAGCCCAGATCCAGTT